GGCCCTTCGGCCAAGAACAAGAAGGCCAACCAGCGACGGCCAAAAGGAGTGCGCGAGCGCCCTCATCGGCCACCCAAAGGAAAGGACGCCATCGTCCTCAAAGCAAGGAACAACCTCAACGGCCTCACCGGCCCAAACATAAACTTCAACCACCAACGACCAGGAAAGGGAAAGCGCGCCTTCAACGGCCGACATTGAAACAAGACAGTCATCATCCTCAAACACATTAAGGAAACAACGGCCTCCCCGCCCACAGCGAGGAACAGGTGACGGCCAAAGCACAGAACAGGATCACCAAAGAGGAAACAACGCCAACGCCGCAACGGCTAACGGCCCGGGGATGCCCGCATCGGCCAAGGGCAACAAAGCACAGGAATCTACTCTCCTTCACTTCGTCTACGTCTCAGCTTAGAGAGTGGGGGACTCCTGATGGAGTATATGGGTCTGAGCCCCCGGACCCACATACTCGGAAGAACAGAAAGCACAAGACAACAGAGTGGCGCCCTCGTCGGCCAAGACGCCCCCGTCGGCCGAAAAGGAGCCAACTCAGATTACGGTCCTGAGCCCAAGGAACTCGGGTGCCCTCGTCGGCCGCGCCCTCGTCGGTCGTGCCCTCGTCGGCCACGCCCTCGTCGGCCACGAAGACCTCCCAGAATCGGATTCTATACTTACTCATTTGTACAGCCCATTAGAGGCTTTGTATCCGGCCCAGTAGCGGTCCAGTTGTAAATGGGCCTCCCAAGCCCAAGGCTTGGGAGCCCAACCCTAATTTTCTCTATAAATACTCCCCTTGGGAGTAGTTATAGGGGTTACAAAATCATTCTATTGAAGCATATTATTGCACTTCTCTCTCTAGCTCTCACTTCTCTCTAGATATACTCTATCAGTTTGTGTGACTGATTCTTTGTATGTATCTAATTGAATGCTTGTCTGTGATATTTAACATAAGTCTATGTGCTTATGGTTTATTTTATTACAATCATAGGGCACTTGAACTTCAGATTCCTTTGAGCAAGCATTTCCCTGCGCAGTATTCTATGTGTTCGGATGTGAAACATGCTTCGAAGTACATTCATACCATGTTGTCTAAGTAGCAAATGGGACTATTCCGGAAGACAGCATGGGGTCACCTTGTAGATATACATGACATTCATTTTTGTGCCCAAATTGTGAAGGAACATCCTGAAGATGAGCTATGGTTCAATGTGGAGGAAGCGATCCAGTTAGACTACTTTGGGTCTGCATGTTTAGTGTTGGATTGATTTGGTTGTAAAACATTGATGTAACCTTACTATATACATTGGTTGTAACCTTACATTAGATTGGATCCAGTTAGTGTTGCATATATTCCTGAATTAGTATGCCTTTTCGTTTTTGTGGCAAACACTTACTCTTTATGGTGTTAATATATAAGGAGGATGCCTTTGCCTGTGAAGAAGACAAACCTTATATGTGCTATGTATCTGCTAGGACTTAGTTTGAATAAAAGACTTTTTGAGAAAAAACATTATAAAAAATGGTTAAAGTACATTATAATATCTGTCACAAACACATTGCGTGTCTCTGAAGAAGAAAAACTCTATCTGTGAGGTGTGGTGTATTTGTCTGTGCTATGTACACTATAATATCTGTCACAAACACGTTGTATGTCTGTGAAGAGCAAACACTCTGTCTGTGATGTGTGGTGTATTTGTGTGTGCTATGTATTTGCTAGGACTTAGTTTGAATAAAAGACTTTTTGAAAAAACATTTTAAAAAATTGTTAAAGTACACTATAATATCTGTCACAAACACATTGCGTGTCTGTGAAGAAGAAAAACTCTGTCTGTGAGGTGTGGCGTATTTGTCTGTGCTATGTACACTATAATATCTGTCACAAACACATTGTGTGTCTGTGAAGAACAAACACTCTGTCTGTGATGTGTGACATATATGTCTGTGCTATGTAATTGCTTTTGTATAGTTTGAATAAAAGACTTTTTTAGGAAAAAACATTTTAAAAATTGTCATGCACATTTACATCAAACTAAGATTTAAATCTAAACCACTAAAAAATCTAAACCACTACAATTCATTATGTCATTACGTCCCCCCTGTCCATTGTCATGCTGAGAGGTCGGTTGTGGGGTACTTGCATTGTCGGTCCTAGCACTTGATTTCTTCTTCCCCTTCTCGAATGGTCCTTTTTGGCGGTTTTTCTGTTAGATTGCCATTTTTGTGTTTGGTGGCACTCCGAGTTCTTACGGGAAACCCTAAACGCTTCCCATATGTCTTGTAAAAATCATACACCGCTTCTTTGCTATCAAATTCCATACCAACATTCAGAGCTTTTATTGAACCATCGTCACTCTCATTTTGCTGAATTTCTCCATCTGACCAACACAGGCAATGGTATATTTAAGCACAGACAGAAGTATATATACACACAGACGCAAGTATATTTACACACAGACATTTCAAATATAAGTTTATTTACACACAGGCATAAGTAAATTTAAAACATTTTGAACACAGACAAGATTGTATACACTTCACAAACACACAGACGATATTATACACTGCACAAATACAAATAATTGTGTGTGAAGAACAAACATATATTTAAGTTCAAAGCCAATGAAATCAACAACACCAACTCATACCAAGCTCAGGGACGTCGTCCATGGCCGCCACCGCCGGTTCTCCGCCAAGTTCAGCCGTCGCCGGTTCTCCATCAAGTTCAGCCGCCGCCGGTTCTCCATCAAGTTCAGCCGCTGCCGCCGCTGGTTCTCCCTTAAGTTCAGCCGCCGGTTCTCCATCAAGTTCAGCCACCGCCGGTTCTCCCTCAACTTCAGCCGCCACCGGAATATCTCCTTCAGCTCGAGAACCACCGGTTGTTTCAGCCCATTCAGCCCAATAATCATCCACAGTAGTATCAATGATAGTTTCATTCACAAAGCCACCAAAATCCATTTTTTTGAAGCCTCAGACCCTTGTATGTGTTGACCTCTGCTACGGGAAGAAGAAAGAAGGACGATGCGGGAGGGGGCTGCGAGAAGAGAGGGTGGGGTTGTATTCGCACGTGAGGGAGGGGGTAAAAAAATGGTAATTTTTGGGCTATTTATAGTGTGTATGTGTGTGTATGAAATGTGTGTACCCAAAGCCCAATTGAGAATCCACAGGCCATATTTCGAACTTGTTGGTCAACCGCCATCCTTGGTCAAGCATGGGGGCGCAACATTCTCCGGAATTTAGATCTCCTTCCCCAAGACTGTTGAGGTTTATTCCTTCGCTCGATGTACGATATAAACACCAGGGAAGATGACTCAACCTATGTTCCGGAAATGAGACACGAGGAGACCCCTATGATGGGGGTGATTTCAGCAGTGATAGTGAAGAGGATGACACCCGTTTTGATCAAATGGGGAGGTACTTGAGTGGTACCAAAAAGAGAAATAGAGAAGGGAACTTAGACGCCAAGCTAGGAGTGCCTCTCAAGGAAGCTCGGGGCACGAAATCCGGTGAGCTTCTAGGGCCTCTTCGGGGTCATCCCAAGGCGGACATGGGGGGAGATTTTTGTGTATGAATCTACAAGTACCTCAAGGAGGCTAGAGCCTTGGGTGTAAATCCTTCGACGTCATGGGGGACATTAACGTTGCCTCCGATTGGATTAAGAAGCTTGAGGATGTGGCTAGGGATATGCAAATCACACCCAACGTGAAGCTATGTGTTTCTTCACGCTTGCTTGAGGGGGTAGCTGTTACATGGTGGGAAAGTGTAGGAGGGAAAATGGGAATTTAGATCTCCTCATATCATCTCTAATCCCATATGTGTATTCATGATTTTTATAATGCTAAATCACTGATAATATCTCATTCACATGTACTATTCGCTCAGACTCCTTTGTCCTTATCAATCTTATCACTCTATCTCTAACAACATTTTATTTAGCACACTAACATTTTAAACATTAAAGATGGATTGATTAGGAACGTTTGAAGAACTATCTCCTCGAATCAAATATCTCTTATTTGAAATCATGAAGCAATAGTACCATTTTTGAGAGCTTGAAGAACTATCCCTCCGTTGCTCAATAATCTTACAGATATATGTGGTGAAAGTGGTGCATATGAGGGACAAACGTGTAGGAAAAGCTACAAACCATTATTAATCATTCGAAAGATAATTAAAAAAGAGTCAAGAAGTATCTATACATATATTTAGTGAGTTAAGTATATTTAGTGGATTAAGTGAGGATCCCGCTCACGCGCAAGGGCATTCCTGTAACTACGCTTGATTTCTATTAATCACTGCTACCATGCTTGGGAGCCTGGTCTCTTTCTTCTTATGTTTCTTTCGCTTCTTACTCTTCTTTATCTTACTCTTTTTTATCTCTTCTTCTTCCTAATCATTTTGGACTCTAGAGTATTATTTTCAAAATGATAAACCCCTTCTTTATCTCTCCCACTTCCTACTCATTTTGGACTCTAGGAGATTGTTTTCAAAAACAAAATTGGGATGAACTATTCGATTTTGCCGACAACTTTGGACTTGTTTTCGCTCAAGGCTTGAAGAGTCCATCTCGATTAGTATCATTTGAATTCAAACTCTTTATACGTCGTATTTATATAGATGTCACTTGCAGTATCAATCTGAATCCCCCTCCTTAAATTCATCTATAACCCTAGAATTAGACGCAGTCGTATATCATCTCTATTATATCAAATATCATTTCAACAGAAAAACACTTCATTGTTCACAAACAACTGAACACACTCTATAATTTTCAAAGTTAACTAATTTTGCACCCTGAACTAATTTTTCCGAGTACCATCAGGGTTTGTATAAAGTAAGTAATTGATCTCTTAATGTGCACATTGGTAGTAATAGTTTATCAAAAATAAAGTAACAAAAAAGAAAACAACATGTTGGTATAATAATCAGGGTACTCTCTTAAAATGAAATTCATGACCAAATTATAGAGTCATTGATATAATAACCAACTTACACAAATGTAGTTAGAAAATATAGTTTTTTTTCTCTTAAGTAGCATCAATGCGTATACACAACAAAACATGTGTATATTTTTGCGTATACAATTTCATAATTCTAACCTCATGTAACGCACAGATGCAAGACTAGTTTTTTGTAGAAAAGAGAGAGCGACATTACTTACTTCTTAAGTAAAAGCACTATTTTTTGACATGAAAGGAGTGTGCTAATACTTAAAAAAATGTTTTTCAGCTTTTGACTTACAAAACCTGAAAAGATGTATTCAAATGATTGTTTCTGCTTAAATAAAGCACTTAAAAGCTAAAAGCTGCAATTATGTGGAAAGGTGCTTTAAATGACTTTTTACTTTTTCTATTACACAAAAAACACTTATTTTACCAAACACTATTAACATGTACTTTTTCTAAATCATTTTTTTCTCAAACACTACGACTTTTACCCTTAATTACTTTCTCCAAAATCAGTTCAAGTAATCATCCTTTCTTTTAAAGTAAAAGCAATCAAAAACACTCTCGAAATTGTGCTTTTACCCCGATGCCCCACCTCCTCCAGTGATCCCACATACAGAACAAAGATTGACTTTTTTGTCAAAAAAATCCATTACGTAGTGTAACTTGTAACATGTGGTTGTGTAACAAGTAACAAGTAACAAGTGCTTTGATTGTGCTACGCAGTTCTTGGTTGAAGTCGTTTTGGACCGTTTGGTGATGGATGGAGTTAGGTGAATTTTGTGTACTCCTTTTACTTACTGCTGCTATAAATTCCACTCACCCCTCACCACTCCAACCCATCTCTTTAACAAAACCTTCAACCCTAAATTTCTTTTCTTCACCTCCAAATTTTAAAACACAGCACTTTAACCCCAAAATGAAGCTCCCCTGTTTTTTAATGCTTTTACTTTCGCCCCTCGTCTCTTTCGCCTTCACAGCACTCTCCGACTCAAACAATAACCCCGTCTCCGACGGTGCTTCGCCGTCGCCGGTCCTCGATGCCGATGGCGGAAGCTTGCAAGCAGGCGCCAGCTATTTTGTCCTGCCAGTCACACATGGAAGCGGCCGCGGTCTCACCTCCGGGGCTGGTGGCATCATCCAAGAAGCCAGCGAGGTCCAGACCGGGTTTCCGGTGGCGTTCTCACCCGTCGACAGCCGGACCGGTTGGGTACCACTGTCAACCGACGTCAACGTGAAGTTCTTCGCCCCTACGGTCCGTACCAACGAGACGGGTTGGATGATCGGGAAGTACGACGAGCTGCTGAAGCAGTTTTTCATCGTCACCGGTGGCGAAGAAGGGAACCCCGTGCCGGGGACCGTCGCGAACCGGTTCAAGATCGAGAAGCACGGGTCGGATTATAAGTTCGTGTTCTGCCCGAGCCGGGTTGTGTGCCAAAACGTTGGGGTCTTTGTTGGACCGGCAGGAGACCGGTTCTTGGCCCTGACTGATGCTCCGCTGGTGGTTACGTTCAAGAAAACCAGCTTCCCCCCGTTCATTCCGACTCCGTTTCCACCGGGCCCGGATGTCCCGGCACCGCTTCCACTGGCTCCGGTCGTTCCGACTCCGTTTCCACCGGCTCCGGTTGTTCCGGCTCCACCGGCTCCGGTTGTTCCGGCTCCACCGGCACTAGTCCCTCCGCCGCCTCCAGCCCCGGATGCTTCATCGGCTATTTCTCACGCCAAGTGGATTTTCTACAATCACGTCTTCTTGACATTTGCGGTCTTGTGCTTTTTCTAGATTCGTCTAGTTGACTACCGCATAAGTACTGTTTGTTACTACTTAGAATCATGCTTCTTCCACGCGCTTAACACGCTATTTTACGCGTTCAAACGGCATTGTTCTAATGGTTATTGGTTAATTAGACTGGTCAAGTGTCGGGGTGTGGTGTAACCCTGACCTGACGTATTAAGAATAATGCAAACGTTTTAGCGGCTTTGCATTGCTATAGTTCTGTTACGTTTCACCGTTTGTCATGTTCGTATGGTTGTGCCGAACTCATGTATGGTGATTTATAAATTATTATATTCTATGGTTTAAACTTTAAATTAATTCCGGAGGAGTATTTGTTGGAAAAAGTGTGTTAAAAGTGTATTAAATGGTTATTTTGGGGCAATTATTTGAGTGGGGTCCACTTCCGATTTGGGTCGGGTCAAAGTGGTTTCGGATTGTCCTTGCTAAGGGCTACAATTCGATATATGATACACTCAAAACGGATAACGGGTGAATGAGAAATTGTTTTTCGAAGTTTACCTGTTGGAATAGAGAAAACTAGGAAAATGTGGGTTTTAGTGTGAGTTCTTTCTCACACCGAAAATCACAAGGGAATTTGAACCCTTTATAAAGGGAAACCCCCTAAAGAGTTAAGATTCCTAAAGGGAAAGACTCTCTCACGTGCGCAAGGGGGGTGCGAATCAAGTCCCGAAATCGAAGAACAAAAATCGCGACTTGCGTGTGCGGGCGACCTGCACACATGAATGTCGTCCGAAAATCTATCTTCTAAAGATAACGTTAATTTTTGTTCTTCTGGTACGTTCCTACTTTAATTTTTGCTCCATGCACATAAATGTCCAACGTCTATATGCTGCCATTGATGTCCCAACGTTCATATGAACGTTTTGGGTTGTTTAATGACTGGAATCAATGCCCAACGTTTAGGACATTGATGTCCAACGATCATAACCCTTAAACAACCATTAACACACCTTAATCCACCCCTATAAAAGGCTAGTAGGTGCTTTGCAAAGATACAACCTTTCATACACTTCGTTCGCGTATTTTCATAGCTAAAACAGCACCTCTAGCACTCCATACAAACTCCTTCGGTGTTCTCCTTTTGTTCACGTTCGTTGGAACTTTAGTTTGAGTGCTAAACTATTGTTCGAAGTCATCGTATCCTGGGAAACGATCGTTGCAACGCTCCTAGCACCCCGGGAGGCAACAAATACGTTTTAAGGAAATCGTGCGTAGCACGAGCTTTGACTTATTCTGCTTCATCTCATTTCTTGTTATTCTTTAAGTCATTTTATTTAATTAATCTTTATTAATTAATTTTCTTTGTTTTTCGAAACTCACCCAACAATATTAAAATACCATGTTGATTATTTTTAGGAGTATTGTTCATTGAAAGAGTTTTTGATCGAATAATACCTGAGACAGGGAAGTGCACGGTTCAGGACCTCAGGTGTACCTTAATTGTCATCAAGATCTTTTATTAGCTAAAACAATGACAGGTAAGGATGCTTTATCTTGATTGATAAACATATGTGATGTGAGCGTGGTGATTGAAACATATTGTCGATTTGTGAAAGATTGCCCTTGATCAATATTACTCCCATAAAATAATTAAAAAAAGTTTTCATTTCACTATTTGGAACCATTCGCTTATTTTTTTTCTTATTCAATTATGATTATACATTTTCATTTTATCATCTCTTTCTTAAATTCTAATCCAAATCTGTTAGAAAATAGAAGAGATTGTAGGTGTATGATTAGGATAAATGATTTTAGTTAGGTGTAGTGTAGATGATGTGTTTTAGAGTAGAACTTTTATCTCTAGAAAAATAATGTTTTATTGATGTTGCTTGGTTTGCTTGTTTTGCAAATGAGTACATAGGATCATTCTAGATCCTTATTACTCCCTCCGTCCCATATTTAACTCCGGTTTTGACCGGGCACGAATTTTAAGATAGTGAGATTTGTGTGGTGGAGAGTTATGCAAAGGAGAGAGAAATGTGTAAGAATGGTTGTGAACCACATATTCTTTACCAAAAAGGGAAAAAGGAGATAAATTTGGGACAGACCGAAAAGGAAAGAATGAAGATAATTCCGGGACGGAGGGAGTAAATGTTAGTAATATAGAGTATTCTACCTCTAATTATTCTAGATTCTATTTAAAAATTCTCTAGTAGAGAATTCTCTATAACATTATTTGTCTTAACATTTCTAGCTTTAACTACATAGAATATTCTAGATAAATGCATCATTGTTTAATAAAATGAATGAGAGTATCTTAAAACTATTCAACCCTCTTATCTCCAAAGTGTTTGACACAATTCTTATTAGAAAACTGAGAATTAGTTTTGTTGCTAACATAATCTTACATTTTAGGTTCTCTTAGGCCTTGAACCAAGAGCGAGCGAGATTAATTTGGGTTTGACAATAACAAGAGCAATCGAGGTGGCTTCCATGTATGGTCTGGAGAGGAATTTGGGTACGACATAGGGGTGTTTGGATCTAATTTTTAAAATTGCTTCTGCTCCTCCAGGGAGCAGAACCAGAAGCTGGAGTGTGGGTGAAAGTGCAGAAGTGATTCTGGTGCTCTAATTTACTCCTAGAATCAGTTTTTTTAGAAGCTGGGGAGGACCAGCTTCTCAAAACTGATTCTGATCCTGCTTCTACTTTAAAAAAGAAGCAGAATCATAATTGGTTCCAAACACCCCCATAACAACTGGCGTGAAAAGCAACGACTATGACATTCTCGGCTTGTCGTTAGCAAGTTTTGTGGGTTTAATGGACCAAACCCTCTCATGAAATATAAACTCCACACATTAGTCACATGTGATTTAGAAAATGTCAAAGTTTTATGTGTTTTAATTATTCATGTGCAAAACCCCTTCAAGAACAAATTCAATTGCCAAATAAATGAAAAATGATTAATTTTTTATTCAATTTAGAAATTTTAACAAAGTTACTTGTATATTCGATCATATTATTATGAAAAGTGATTTCAAATAAAATTTGTTCTTAAAGGGAGTTTTGTGCATGAATAATTAAAACATAGGGACATAATTTTTGAATCACAGGTGACTAATAAATCTAGTCTATATTTCACGAGAAAACTCAAGAAAGCATGAGGGCGACGCTGGCGACTTTGGTGCAAATTGGGACAAAAAACCGAAAATCTCCTATATGACAAATGATTTATACTTTTTATGTTTGAGTTTTGTTAAATGAATTTGGTACTATGTCCATCCCGTTGGAAGATTCATATAGCAAAATGGTACGGTTATTTAGAAAATAATTAAATAAAGTACTTCGAGTATATTTTGATAAATAACTTCAATAGGTATATATTATAATGTAGTTAGTATTGATAACTGTGATGTTATAAATGTATTATTTTTAATATTTAATAATTAATTTGTCACTTAAGATTGTTAATTATTTCCCAAAATGGAAATGTAAACCTTTAATGAGACGTTCAAAAAACAAGTGAGAACTTTTTAATGGGGCGGGGGAAGTATTGTTCTTTTTTAATTGTTGATTGCATTAGGCTTTATGATTGAGACTTTTGAGTGTTTTTATGTGGTAGTTACTTAAGATTAGATTTGTTGAGATTTTGTATGCAGGTTTCTAATTCAATTGCTTTTGGCTTATACTAGTGTAACATCCGGGACATGCCCCAGTAGTATTAGTTTGATATGGGTCAGGTGACAAATAGTGATAAACATTGTGAATTATTTATAGAATATGATCAATATTTTGACTATAATTGATTTCTTTTAATCCTTCCGTCACTTTATAGTTAGCCAAACACTATTTTTAAGTCAATTGTGTTAAATTTTGACCGATTATATATTTATACATGGTAATAATGATAATATGGAAATGATATGATTTTTTTTGTTAAAAATACTATCATAAAGTATAAATTTATTAAGTTTCACATAAGTATATTAGTTAAAATAATGGATCAAAGTTTATCATCTTTGACTGGAAAAGTCGTAGATGACTAAATAAGGAGGAACGGAGGTAGTATGAACTAACCACCACCAAAGAATATGAGTGAGGAATCACCATCTTTTGGAGTATGATTTTTTGGGTATATTGTGATTTATGTGCTTAGTGTTGCAATAGTTACGTATTAATTATTTATATGGCTAATTATATGATGAGGATGATAATAAGAATTGTGAATTGGAATTGGGAATTATATGTGGACTTTACAATTTTACATTATGTTGGATATTCACATGTATTATTAGTGTTATACGATTAGAGTCTCTTTCAATTCACGTGAACTAAAATTCCATTATTTAAAAATTTGGTCTTGAATTAGAATCTCACACAAATGTGTAAGATTATTTTTTATGAATAGAGTCCTATTACGTGTATTAGAGTCCCACTATTTAAACAAATTGATGTTGTACAATTATTTAAGAAACTGAAATGATATGGTATTTATTCCGAGAATTATACTCTATTAATATGGTTGATATTAAGAAGTTCTATTCGCTTGGTATGAATATTTATGATCTGAAAATTGTAAAATCTGGTCTGATATAATCTGATTTTTTCTAATCTATGGTTTGATAATCTTGTATGATCCCGTTGTATGAATCTTTCTAATCTGATTGAATCTTTCTAATATGATTTGAGTTTTTTTTATCTAATCTGAATCATTTTGATCAGATCTAATTATTTATTATGTGGTTGAGTTTTTACTAGTATTATAAAGCTATTATTATGATTATCATTGTCATTATTGTCATCATAATTGTAATTATAATTATATTTATAATCATAATTATAATTATAACTATAACTTTAATTACGATATCATTTTGTTATGGTATAGTTATCCTTATTTTTACAATTATGATTATCCTCATAATAAGTGTTATCAATACCAACAACCTAAACATTTATAATAATAGTCATTTATAAATACGGATAACGATAAATGTACATTAATAATAATATAGTCAAATAATAATAATAATATCATTGATAATAACCATAGCAATAATATATGATGTTTTATGAATAATAATAACATACAAATAAGGGAGATTTATCTAAGTAGGACTAAATAAAAGGACAATTGCAACAATAGAAGTTTAAAGTTTAAATTCCTAAAATAGGACTAACTCTTCCTATTCTACCCTTTCTTTTGTTCTTTCTAATAGGATTTTTTAAACAATCATTATAAAATATAAAAAAAAAATAAAAAAAAATAGTGCTCCCTCCGTTCCTATTAAAACTTCCAAATGGGTTGGGCACACAGTTTAAGATAGTGTGTATTGTGTGGTGGAGAGTTGTGCAGAGGAGAGAGAAATGTGTAAGAAATGTTATGAACCACAAATTCTTTACCAAAAAGGAAAAATAGA